AAAGTGACTAACATGCCTGAATGGCCTATGTCAGTTTTATTTAATTTTCTGTTTGTTTTTTTGCTTTTAACTGTCATAATTCCTCATCAAAATCATGTGGAAAGTAGCAGAGCGTGGGCATTTTTGCTTAAAATTTAAAGTGGCCCTTTTAACACTTTATCTGCACATTGACAGCAACTTTCCTTTTTTATTGGCTAATGTCTAGGTAAAAAAAAAATGTTTTTCAGCTTTGACAGGTGAAAGCGAGAGGTGGGCATTCACCAAGTGAGGAAGGTTCTTTCAAATATCATAACCAGAAAACAACTAGTATTTTCTAAATAATAAAGCTGCCTAAGGTAATATTTCATTCTATGTATGCAAAAAAGTTGATTCTAAAAGTTAAAAAAAAGCATGATACATAAATAATGTATAAATAATGAAATAATGATAACAATTTATATTCATGATACATAAAAGTACCATTCAAATTAGTATAACAAAAAAAACACCCTGCCTCCCTTCCTCACAACGAAAAAAACACCAGAGAATGAAACAATACCATAACTCAAATCCCCCTTTAGTACATAATTAAATCCTACAAACTGCCTCCCATTATGCTCTCTTACTGAGGGTAACAGTGTTAGCTGAGGAAGAAAGATGCGAATGCAATGTAGATGGGAAACTAAGCCTCTTGGTGCCCGATGCCTCAGCAGGAGATGAGTGTGTGCAAGCTTGATATGCAGATTGGAGAGCAAATTGAGAGAGGAACATTCTGCCTTAAACCCAAATGACTGCCGCCATCCATCATGACCGGCGCTGCTCCAGTCATGTTTGTCTTTGCGCATTTTTAGGTGTGTTGGTTTGCTCCGCGCATCTCCATAATTGCGTTTGCAGTCAGGGTGTGGAGGGGGGGAGCACTTACTCTCATTTTCGGCTGTGCTTTATCAAGGCGAGCGATTCGAGCCAACGCACACATTCATTTATCTCCACGGTGACCTTTTTCAGAGCAAAAGATCGTCTGCCTCCTTTGTTTTTTTTTTTTTTTTTTTTTTTTTTATTGCTTCTATGAAAACCTCAGTCCTATGCTAAGAAACTGATGTTGAAAAATAATTAGTGCTTCCAGAAACAGGCTGGAACTTATTCACTTTCCTGATGTGAAGGACTGAGCTCCTGAATAAGAGAGAAAAATGGCTGCAAAGAGTAAAATAGAAAAAAAAAAAAACTAAAAGCTTTGAGTCTGGATCAAACGATGCCTTGTTAAGTGAAAGGAAAGTACCAAACAAGGGGTAAACCGAAACGTTTACCTTGAAAACTTCATGGTCCTTGGTTGCTTCCTTTCGCCTCGAGCGAAACAAAATAAAAGCATGATCTGATTCCCTGTGAGACTATAAAACTCAGCGAGGTATGAGTGCAGGGTGAATATGCATATGTTATCCGAGGGCAGCCTTCTTTGTGGCTCTTCGCATTTATTATAGTGTGGAAAAAGACAGTTCTCCATTCATGTCACCACAGACACTTTATTGGATCATAATATTTTATTTTTGTAAATAGATAACTCAAAATGTGCCTTTTTGAAACCAAATAAATAAGTTTGGCAGCATTAACTTCCTTTATTTATTCAGTAGAGAGGATTTGATTACAAAACAAATACAAATAAATACAAAGAAAGTTTACTTATCAAAAATTATTTCAGCTAGAGTAAAAACCCAAAAAATTTACATTAAATGCCCAGCTAGATAAAGATAAAGCTGCAAACCTGTTGAACAGACAAACAGTCTTTCTCAGTGTCTGTTAACAGTGAGTCTTTTTGTCTAGAACAGCCCTTATGTGCATCACTCTACAGAAAACTTCCTCATTCAAATGAATCATGACCCAATTCGTAAAATCAAAACTAAACAAAAAATTAAGAATAGCTTTGGATTCACAAGTAAGATTTTATGCACATATAAGGAAAATAAAAACTATTGGGGCTAATTTGAATAGGTTTTGCCTAATACTGTCTATCAATATATGCAGCTAAAATCTACTTTTATTCTATTATTTCTATCGGATTTTTCACACTTCATCACAAGTTAGCAATGAAAAATGTAGTCTTACTTTATTAACAAGAATTAAAAGTGTTAGACCAAAACCCCATACAATGGCAAAATTCAAGAAAAACCCAATTTGAGAATTATCTAAAATATTCTTGATTAAAATTTGTCTTTACAGGAGCGATTAAAAAAAATGTTAAACAAGGTACTGGAGCTTTAATTTTTTTTACAGCAAGGACTGGACAGTTATTATTAACAAATAAAATTCGTTATTATTTATGAGATTTTTCAGCCAAATGTGAGAAAGAGCCATGGCAACCGCCTTAGCAACCTAATGCTTCTGCTGTGGCCAAAAAACCACTAACGCCACACTGGGTGATTGGCTCTCGTCAGACAGCAGCTAAATAGATTTTCTTTTGCTTTCGAATAAACACAGTTTTGCTGTTATCTGAAAGGTTGTATGAGTATGTAGCAATATGTTCAAGCATGAACATATGGGGCAGCAGTTGTAGCACCCGTTCGTCGACTGGATTCTTTTGTGATGCGTCGCAATACGTTCACTTGTCGAAAATTCAAAGTATTTGAGTCACTACTGTTATCCTTTTCAGTGTGTATATTTAACATGTTGTCTAATTAAGCTCTTCGAATGACATCACACTTTCGGTTTTAGTATGGGCAAAAAGCAGTAGGCTAGTCAGAGTTTCTGAATAACTCGAATTACTAGTACTGCCTTAAATTATCTACAGTACTTTCATTTAACCATTTCATCCCATCTTTAAATACATTGATAACTTTTATCCTGAAATTGTCTGGAACATGATGCAAACATATAGCATGTAAGGCAGTCATGCCTCAGTTCTGGAATAACACACAATTAAAAACCATCACACACCTAAAGAAGTTCAACAACAGAGTAAAACAATAGCTTAAATTGACTCAAACCTGTGAACATTAAAGCAAATTTTGCTAATCTTTTGGATATAGTCTGGATTATATAATTATGTACTGTTTTTGTGTTTGTAACTGGATGTTTTGTTTTGTCTTAGGGACCTGATTACTCATTTCACACACCTGTTCTGCTCCATCAGTTCTCATTGCCAGCTTATCTAATCCACCTGTTTTAATCCATATTTAACCAGACTTCAGACCAGTCATCACAGCCAGATTTTTTTCGAGACAGTGGTGAGAAGTATTCAGGCATTCCTGTATTCTGATTGCCTGATCTTGACCCCTTCTGCCTCTCAACCTCTAAACCTACCTGTCCCTGTCTAATCTGTTTGCCTGACCTGTCTTCGGACTCCTACCAGAACTCTGTTTGCCCGGTGGCCAACTTGGAAATGTTACCCGACTCTGTTCTGGATGCTCCCTCGGCACCTCACTGTATCTCTGACAACCAAGCACATCACCAACACACCTGTTCTACAATCGCTGTGTCGACAACAGTCGACTGGAAACAATTTCACCCTCTGAGCTCGGACTGAACTATAAGACCAGGTTAGGGAGTCACACCTTCATTATCATCCACCTCCAGAAAGACATGGTCACTAACCTGCTTTCTCCACGTGCAGAGATTCCTGCCTTAGATACCAACGTTGTTAACTTGTTCTGACTAACCTGTTCTGAGCTTGATAGTTAATTCGATTACCAATGAACATGGCATCAGGTGCATTTTAAATGTAATAGTTTTTTTGTTTGTTTTTTTATGAAGTGTTCCTATAAAATAAACTTTATGGGGAATTTATTAGTTTGTTTGGTCTCTGTTTTCTAGAATTGCCAGTCCCTAAAGCCTTCCTTTGGTATCTTTTGAGTCGAAATTGTTACAGGCTACATCTCTTTATAGCTACATGCTATGTGTTACAGTGAAAGCAAGGTTTGGAATTGGCTACATTTGCAGTCACAGACAGTCTTCAACTATGCCAATTATCCTTTATCATCAACATGGCACATTCATCCTGCAACTTTGAACTGGACAGACGTTTGTTTGGAAGACTCCAGTAGATCAGTGATTTATGAAATCCTCAATCCAGAGCCTCTCATGCACCAACAACCAGCCAAGTCCCATAAATCACCCCTTCTTCTACACATATAGATGTTAAATTTTTTCACTAAGTTGCTGCGATTTGATCAACTGCTGTATCTAATGAAGTGGCTGGTAAACAACTAGCTCAATAATAAGCCGTTAAACACTCAAAGTAACAACACCTGAGGGTTCAGAATCACATCCAGCATATAGTAAACAAAACGGGCACTCCATATTGATGTTTTTGAAAGCTTGGTCAGCATTTACAAAAGGGTAAAAAAATCAAAGTAATTTGTTATTAGGTTACCTTTTAGGGAAAATTAACACATCAATATGCGTCATTGTTGCCATAAATTAGGAGTAACAAGTATCGCTCTTTCCCTATTGATCCTTTTTTGCAGCAACACAATGAACCAATTAGTGCAGAAAAACTATCCATTAGTTTGTACCTTTGACAACCTGTGAATTTCTAATTTGTATATCTTTTTGTATATTTATATACCTTTAATTGTATAGGTAAGTTCCTTTAGATGTCATCTAATGAATGTTGTGGCAGCTTTCTGACCACAAGGTGTCCCTTTTTTGTTGCAGATGCTGCAATCGGTGCCTTGTGCCAGTGTGCTGTCTTCAAAGTCTTGAACAAAACAGCAGAAAAGCTGCAAGGTTTGTTGCAAGTTGTTTTTTTTGACAAACTGTAGCTACAGTAGAGGGGTCTTAAAAGTTTCTAAACATAGCAACAAAGCAACTACATTCTTGTCCGTAATTATTACTTAAAGTCAAAACCCATTCCGTTGGCACAAATACAAATATAAGCTGTATGCAAAGTTAACTAACTTCCCTCTCCCCTCTACTAAGTTACACTGTGACTATTGAACACAACTTAAAGCTGATCACATGCTGGATGTGATGTTGCAAACAAACGGCACACATACACACACATAGCCAGTAGACTCTCTGGCAGCATCTACCTTGTCTCCGTCCACGAAGGTCTGGCCGTCGCTGGCTCTCCTCCAGGAGATGTCAGGCAGAGGCTCGCCCTCAGCGACGCAGGAGATCATGGCAGCGCTGCCCTCCACGGCTGTCACGTTCTTTAGCTGGGTGATATGGGGCTGGACTGTTGGCCAGCCACAGAGGACAAGAGAAATAAATTAAGAGAGGTGAGGGTAGGAGAACAAGGCGGAAGGACAGAGAAAGAGGTGTGAGGATGGGAGAAGCAGGAGTGAAACTGTCAACTCATAAAGTAGAGTAGATGAAAGCTATACCGTGGGGTTTAGACACTGAACTGATGCATGACTTTGCACTGACAATATAGGCCAAGATCATTTGTACGCCGCAGTCAGACTTAACAAGTTTGATATAGTGGGGTAGAATGGCCTTTTGTTCCTTTTCTTGCACTGACTGAAAAGGCCTGACGCAACAGAAAAAAGTTGTTAAACTTTTAAGCCCCTTTGTTGAAGCTTTTCTTCTTATATATATATTTATTTATCTTGAATAAATATAGATTTTTGTCTAGAAAGACGCCTCTTCAATACCATGTGATTTGCTTTTTGACGCAGAACGAGCACTAAGAGCAGATAAGTGCTAGAAAGCGTGGCACTGAGGGCTGGTAGCTCCCCGCTTCCACCTGATAAGGTGCACTGAGCAAGCCCCAACACCCAATGCATGTCAAGGGCACGAGGCATGCTACATGAATCATGGATTACTTTTTTTTTCTTCCCCCACTCCCAATACACACACACACACAACCACACTCCATGTAAAACCTTAACAGGCGGCTTGCGAATGCAGCATGGCATAAAATCCAAAAAGGAAAAAAAAGAGGAAGTGAAGGGAAAATAGTGACTGGTGTTCTGGAGGCTTTTAACGGCGCTTGCGGGCGGAGTCCTGGGACTGTTTTGGCAATATCACATGGCTTCAGCCTTGGGGTGAAGGAGGCATCTCAGGGGATTTGGAGAGATTGTCAAAACAGGAGGTCATGCAAACATACACATCAGCACACACCTGTATTATTTTACCTTCTAGCACCTTCAGTAAACAGATCAATGATCTGAGAATAGAAACCGTCTGTGGGTAAATACCAACCTGAGGTGGTAAGAGAAAAGTGAACCTGCGTCCAGCATTACTCAGAGTTTGGATTCATTTATTAAAATACTGATGTTTTACATCTAAATAGTCTTTAATATTTTTTAACTGCTCAGAGGAAATTAAGTGGACAATTATGCCTACATCAATATTAACATTCACGTCTGGTTGGTTTTGTTATTATTCAAACCAGAATTATAGACAGATCCAAACCGATATTAAATTAAATGAAAGCCCTAATCAGCATATGTAAATTCTGACAGCAATTCTAGGTCCAAGTAGGAATGAACTCAATGTTCTGCCCAGTTTGCAAGCATTTAAATCAACAGGATGCTCCAAAAACTGAACTACTAAGTTAGAAAAGATACACTGACATCAAGGGTTTGGACTTTCAAAGCTCTCTGCAGATGAACTCCAGTTATTCTTTTTTAATTATAAAACAGAACAACATAGTAATGTCTAGAACTGGCATGAGAAAGCACAAAAAAAGCCTGCAGGAGCAGCCGTCAGGATCAGAAAAGCTACGCTACCTTTTCATGCCGCTGCCATCTGGCAATGGAGGCAATGTTTTCTGATAGCAACAGAAGTAGAAGTTGGTTCTCTAAAATTATAAAGAAAAATAGGTGCAAAAATGTCTCCAGTCAAAAAACACGCTTACAGATTTCTCTCCAAAGTCAAATTGGAACAACTCAGACTTCAGTGTTCGCAAATAACACACAAAAATCAGCTTTAGGCCCTACTCTTAATTCCCAGCAACAGATCACAGAGGAAACAAGTCAGAATGTACCTTAACCAATTGATCAAATCACTTTAAGGCCTCATAATGACAACAAATGACTGCAGGGATAATTTCTGCAGAGAGGAAGATACAGGGAGCACTCAGGAAGATTGGTCATATCTATTACACCTTCTAAAAGCTTTTAAAACTTTCACAGCTTTAGACATACATATAAGGAAGAAAAAAAAAACACAAACAAGGTTTGAGCTGCTAATGCACCGAGGGAGTCCTCCATCATCACCATATCTGGAAGTGGTTCGCCTCAAATACCCTTCATTGTGAAAACATTAAATGGAAAATGTCTCATTCATCAAGACGGCGCAAAAGTCCCTCTGCTGGGAAAGTTATTAATAAAGAATTATCTGCAGTATTACAAAACTAAATGAGAAAGAGATGAGACGCATTTTAATGAGAGGAGTCCAGAAGCATATGACCTTCAAAAGTTGGGTTATTTCATCTTGACTTAAGGTTACAGAGCTTTAATTAGTCTGATTTCAGTTTTCTTTTATTTATCTAGTATAATTTGCAACAGGTTAATGAGGTAAATCTTTACTCTAGCTACTTTTCTTGGTCTCTTGCTTGCAACTGATTGGAACGATCAATCCTGCAACCAATACGCAGTTTTGTTACATGCTTCACTGTCCCTTAAGGCCAAACCTTTGCTTGATTCAGGTAAAGATGTTGGGACTAATCCACCATTTGTTTTTCTTACATCCTCTGATGCTTTTTCTTCAGAGAGCTACTTCCTCTACATGACTGGTCTCAAAATCGAAATCCTCAAGGGCAGGTGTTCTGCATCCCTGGCCCTAATTGAAAAGAAAACGCTAAACTACCTCTCCAACTTGCAGTCAAGCTCTGCTAATGAACTAACATTAAATTCTTGAGTGTTAAAGCAGAGAAGCAGAGAAGCGAGCAAGAGTTGCAGGACACGGACCGCCGAGGACAGGTATTTGACACCAATGGTTTAGAGGACACGTGTCAAGCTCCAGTCCTCAAGTGCAAGTGTCTTGCAACCTTTAGTTGTGTCTCTGCTTTAACACACGTGAATCATATCAGATTATTAGCAGTGCTCTTAAGGAATTTGACTGCATACTGATAAGGTAAGTCAGCCATTTTAATTAGCTGTGTTGGATCAGGCATGTATTTAAAATGTGCAAGATACCGGCCCTTGAGAACTTGAGTTTGACACCCTGCTTTAGAGACTGTGCTGCCAATCCACTATGCCTAGAGTCATTTTAGTGGTTCAATCAGACCCAATGTCATTTGTGCATCTAGAGCTTCAAATAAGTTTAACTGCAAAATGCACATGCATCCAACTTTTTGACGCACAACACAAGCTTGGTCTGAACTCAACCTGAGATGGCATATTTTGTTATTTAGATATGAAGCAATTCCAAACACAGGATGAAGACCTTGCTTCTAAAAAATGTATACAATCCAGCTACAGTACCTCAAGGACCATCTGGTGGTCTTTAGACAATTGTCAGAAAAGACCAACAGAGTTAATGAATACTCTAAAAATTTGCATTAAAAAGCATTTGAGTAAATATTTCACGAATACTAAAAGGACAGTTAGGTTAGATAGGTTGTTGTTCATTTTCTTAGCATGACAAAATGTCAGAAATACCATTTACTTCAGTACCTAAAAAAATGCTTGTGGCTTAGATTAGACTTTTTTTTGATTTGCCAGTTATTTAAAAACAATTACATTAATTAGCATAAAATGAATTTGATGCATGAGGGCAGCTGTTTATTTCTTTTTAGTTTCACAGTGAAAGGCTGACCAAACGATTGACCGGTCCTCACATTCTCCTTTCACAGCGAGTTTGTTTTTCCATCATATAAAGTAAAGCCAAATTGTGGTGAAAGCATCATCATCCAGCCAACCAGCAGACTGGAACAAACTCTTCGCTGTTGCTTTGCATCTGACGCCCTTTATCACCATAATTACAGTTCATTATATCAGTGAAAAGCCAGTCATTAGATTATTATATTTATGATGTAAACCATCACCCTTACAGTTTAAAAGTAGTTTAGTTCTTCCCTCTCTCCAGCAGAAAAACAAATGTCAAAAAGACATAAATGTAGAAAAAACACTGTTTGCCTTTTTAAATATTAGACAGTGTGCAATTAAAGCTGGAAAAATGCCTTATTTTCAGATAAGCTTTATTTTTACCCTCCCTTGGATGATTTGACATTACATAAAGCTCTTATTCCACCCACAGGCAGACATCACAAGGTAAAATGTTCAACTTGCTGCATCTGATCGGCCTAATGCATGTTATTTGTTGCTTAAGCCGTGCAGATCCATAAAACAAATGTCAGCACAGATTCTCCCTCCTGTATCCACCGCTGTTCCCCTTAGGAGCTAAGAGGCTTTAATGATAAAGTCCACCATCAGACATGTTCTGCTACATCATCTACATTTTTTGAGCTTATCCATAACGCAGTGAAAACTGATGTTGTGTTTTTATTCATTAGAAGAAAGAAGCGAGAATAATGTGTTGATGTGAAAAGCAGATATTGTGTTTTACGACGTACATGCAAAACATTAAGAGAGTAAGTGTCAGATTTAGTCTGCAAAGAGATAAATTTCTCCTGGTATGACTCCTGATTGCGGCTGGAATAAGATAAATTTTAATCTGAGTGTTCAAAAATATTATTCAGATTATTTCTTATTTCTCCTGGAAGTGAGCTCTTGTCCGTGTTCCCCGCTCATATTCCTGGTCTTTAAGACTCTTCTCCAACCTGACCACAAACTCCTTATTAAAATCAGTAGAGGTAAATATAAAGTTGGCTATTATTAAACTAAAACCAAAGTGAAAAGCTCAGATTTTAAAGAACAAAAATTGAAAGACCTAGGCTGTGTCCGAATGTCCGCCCTAAGCACTATATAGGACCCAATATAGTGGTTATGCCATTTTGAATGACTGAAAATCTAGTGGGAAAAGTAGTGGATTTGAAATTTCCCACAATGCACCTTGAAAAGTAGTGATCATCCATGGTCACTGGACAAGCAGATATATCCTAGATTGCTGCGATCGCAACAGTGTGCGATGGCACAGGCACCATGTGGGAAGGCGGAGTAACATGACATGGGAACACAAAGTATTGATAATTTGTCTGAACGATCAGTTCAATATAAAGTCCACTATATATTCCCCACTCTATAAAGTGATTGAGGGATTTAGGGGTTAGGGCTGACGTTCAGACACAGCACTAGTCCCTTCTACGATTAGTGCATGTTAAGGAAATCTCTCACACGGCAAAAGATGGTGATGATGGAACCATTTAAAACCTGATCGGAACCACGCAGACCCATATATAATAAAGGGCGACCCGTTATGCTTCTGTTATGTTCATAATAACAGAGACATTAAAGAACATTACCTCACGCCCCAATTCCAGTGCTGCGCTCATAGATTAACAGCTATAAATTGGCCGAAATAAGGTTTGTCTTGATGCTTAAAAAAAATTACTGTTATCTAGATAATTTTGAATCTATTTATTTAGTGTAGAGGTAATAAATAAGAAAATATAAATATGTTTTATTCATGATGTAATTCTATGATACCCGCCCGCATTTTGTTCATTTATACCCATGTCCGCACCAGGTAAATAACATGTTTTTTTTTCCTGGTTATAAATATAAGAACTTTCTTTCCTATATTTGAGAGCAAAGCAATGCCTTGCTTAATGCTAGCATGCCAGCATGATAGCATAGTGACAATTTGGCTACGTTCACACTGCAGGCCTTGATGCTCAATTCTGATTTTTTTGCATAACTGTTCACTTTTCCAGATATATGCGACTTGCATGTGATCTCATGTGTGAACTGCATTCATATAACCTAAGTGTCCCGCATTTGCAGTAGAGGACGCAATGACGTCACAAGTAAGCGTGCTCTGTGTTTATGGAAGTAAACATGGATGGTAGAGCTGGAGAACATCTAATGATCTTTCCCAACCTTAAAAACTGAATCTTTCCAAGATGATTAAACATAAATACTACTTTCCGCATTATCATCCACCATTGTTATTGTTTGTCTTGCCACTTTTGCATAGCAAGAAGCAGAAGAGGGACCATTGTCAGGTATTAATATAATTCAGGTCGGATGGATGTGACCTGGCTGTTCTCACAGAGGTCGCATTTGAAAAGATCAGATTCGTATCGGATTCAGGACCACATAGCCAAGTGGCCTGGGTCGCATTGGAAAAAATCGGATCTGTTTTGTTCAGACTGTCGTGAAAAGATCAGATCCAGATCGCATATGGACATAAAATTGGATTTGGGTCACTTCAGGCTGCGGTGTGAACGTAGCCTTTGACTTTAGGTTAACTGTTTAGCAAAATCCAAAAATTATCTTCCATTACTGTTTTTAGATAGCTCAAAATGAAATAGAAATGTAAATCCCTTTATGGTCCCACAATGGGGAAATTAACTCTCTGCATTTTTACCCATTCCCTCTGGGAGTAGTGGGCTGCCATGGTGTGGCGCCTGTGGAGCACTGTGGGGTAAAGGAACCCAAAATGGAGGCTGTGGGAATCGAACCAGGTAAATACACCACGAGTTAAACTATGTGGAGCTGCAAGTAAAAAGTTGACAAGTTGCTAACGTCAATTCTTCATCTAAATCAATAGAGAATTACAGTAAGTTTTGAAGAACTGCAAAAAATTCACAGCATGGGCAAAATGAAGGTAAAAACTCAGGTATCCCTGTGGCCACGCTGCTGGCATGTCTAACCCAGAGGTGTGGTGCATGTAGATGTTCCTTCACAAGGTGGATTTGCTTTTTACAACTTAGATCCCAGAAAGCAAGGCAAGTTAGAATAATCCCTGAAGACTGACAGAATGCTCTAATTTACAGCTCAAGGGCTGCTTAAGAAGAAACTTTATGCTACCTCTGGCCCCCCCAGACGTCGACAGGTTAAAGGGTATAAATGTGGAATAAGAATGAGCAAGCCTCAAGCAGTCAGTCACTCAAAAACATACGTGGCAGCATATGAACCTCTATACAGACTATTCTAGAAAACTGTATTTTTTTACTATCTGATGGTGAATATACAGTAGAGCACACACACATATCTGCAAACATCTTGTCTAATTTACAGTAAATGACCCGTTTTCATGCTGCCCTTGCTGTCAAGGGTAATAAAACTAACTTACAATAGCATTCCCCCACAGTGCAGTCAAAAGAAGAGCTCCTCCCTGCTCCTTAGCTTCTTCATTAAAATGTGCATTTTGAAGAACAAGCGTTTCTCACATCTTGAAAGGACGTTGATGACTACGGCGAATCTCTCAACTTCTTTTTTTTTTTTTTTACATGAGAAGAATGCCAGCGTGATCTGGGAGGAAATAGCCAGCAGGTTCATGAAATTATAAATTGAATTTCTTTCTTTTTTTTTTTTTTTATGTCATCAGCGCAGCAGTAGAAATATGCAGCAATAAATGAGATATTTCCGATGCAGCTATAGTTGGTGATGTGGGCTGGGGGCCATATTTGGTGTCTGAGGCTTCTGAAAAACTGTTTTGGGATAAAAGAAAATTGTGAGAATCCTCGCCATAAAACTTTATGGATCGACATAAAAATTCCCTGCTGTAATGACGAATGCAATTATGTTTGGATGCGCTGGAGATACACTATATTACAGAAAAAGGTAAAGAAGAACAAAAAAATGAAGTATATATATATATATCAAAAACCATCTTTTCTTATTTTTAGTTTATGTTGGAGGCATGGAAATCGTTAAATATTACTACTATAAAATAGATCAATTTCAACCCAGCTAACCTGAATTTAGAACGAGTTTCTGTAAAGGATGAAAAAAAGCTATTTATTGCGTTTTGTCAAGATTAAATGAGATAGACTTTTAATAAAAGCAGTGATGAATTCATTCCTATTATATTTATCCAATTCCTATCTATAAAAAAAATAAATAAAAGAGTCCCTGAGAGACAGTATTTACCCCTTAGGGAAGGATTCTGAGACTGATAACATATTTGATCAATACAACTGATAAATTGTTTATAATATAATTGTAATATCCGATTGATACAGACCTTTCATCTTTCTCTACAGAGTTTTGATAAGTAGCCTGTGCTATAAATGAATAAGGCAAAGATGGGACGATCAATGGGAGAGAACATGACAAAGATACTGATTAAAGTGACAAAAAAAGAGAAAGTTTAATGTGGATTTGTTTTTATTTTATGCTTTTTCCCCCTCTCTTTTTCAGGGTAAATGGTGGTTGAGATCCTTACCGAACACCTTGAGGAAGAGCTCTCTTTCCTGAGAGCCCGCCTTGTTGGAGGCCTTGCAGGAGAAGGTTCCTCCATCAGACTGGCGGATGTTGCGGATGGTAAGCATGCTGCGGCTGCCTTCCAGCTTGCTAAAAATGTACTTTTCTGACGGCTCCAGCTGCTGCCCCTTTCTGTCAGAAACAGAAAGCAGAGGAAGAAGATGAGGATAGATATTTGGTGGTACTTAAGACTGCATCTAATTTATCATCTTCTAACTCTACTATCGGTCCCATTAAACATTTCAGGTGTTTTTGCATCATCTATATCATTACATATTTTAGGATTTGGACTACAGCACCTCCTAAAATGATGCACTTAATGCTGTGCTGACTTTATGTCTTTTTTCACATATTGGACTCAGTTTGAAAATTAATCAAGGGGAAAAAACAAACAAAAACAACCAGCTAAATTGATCCATGTCTGTTTAAGCTTCTGAACAGAAGCATAACAGTGAGAAGCAGGTTTGGAGCCTCCCCCGCTTGTTTATTTGCAGCTGCCTAACCAGCCGTGTAATCCAAAAGGGTTAAGAGACTGCTGACGTTGGGAGGGTAAATTTGACATTTTCCCCATACTGGTACAAATTTAGACAAGCTTATGGATGATGCAGTGCCTAATTTAGTGCTAGCTGTCAGTCTTGTTTGGTAGGAGTTCCTCAGCTGCTAAACCTGGTAATATTTACCTCATCTAGCTTGAAAGGTTCTCCAGATTCTGTCAGATTGTCATGAAAATTTAAATTTTCCTTTCATAAATTAATTATGTTGTTGATCTCTGTGAAAGGAGTTCTGCCAAAAGTACTGTATATCCATAGGAAATACTCATATAATGTTTTATTTTAAACACACACACATAACAACTCTTTACCATGAGCTCCCAGTATGTCATAACCATGAACCCATGCTCCATCTCTGCGCTCACTTCCTTTTTATGCACCTGTGGATTCTCTCTTGCAGACCTTTTTTTGGGCGCTCATGTCAGCCTTCTTCACCTTGACATCAACACTAACCTTAGAAAGTAAACAGCCTGTGATTCGTTACTTTTCAGGAAATCCTGCCTCTTGAGACCACACTGTTTTTTTTCTGGTTGTGGATAATTACCAGTCGCTCCGTAATCAGAACAGGTTGCACAATCCATACCATCAGCTTATTTGCACATGTGCATCCAAACATTAAATTTTCTTTCTCCCTAATTTTAATAAGTTGCAACTAAGCTGCAGAAACGTAAATGTTTGTGTTCATTCAAGCCTCACTTTCCTCAACAAAAACAGTGAAGCTAATGTTAGATTACCTTATACAGTACCAAACATAACAATCATTGCAGAACACATTGTGCTCAAGTTTTTTTTTATGATTACTTCACTTAACTAATTTATAACTCCTTAAGAGAACAGTTATTCGCCTGAAGAATGCTTTGCTAACATCACTTAGCCACAAACAGGAGGAAAACGAGGTGTTGGTGGAGATTGTCAGTCATTGAGGTCATAGTCATTCCAAAAAAGTTTAAAAAGTCTTTTTTTTGGCTTAGAAAACCTGAAAATTGAGCCAAGAAAACAGGTCAACTCCTTAGTAATGGGGAGTCGCTGAGGTCGTTATCGGCCAGCAATACCAGTTTGGTGTTGGCCTATGCGTGTGAAAAGAGAGTTGTTAGGGTCATTGTTGGCATGGCTGACCAGGTGAGATGTTTTGGTCCCATGCATAGCGATGGGGGCTGCAATGATAGCAGGAAGGAATCAACTCTATCGCTGCATTGTAGGTTTTTTCTGTATGTATGCTTGGCCTTAAAGGTTGGGCCAAATGTGATCCCTCTTGATCTTGAGCACTTTGTTACGGATCAGAAACAGAACTTCCTGGTTCAGAACTACAACCCCGACACCAAAACATCAACTTATGGGTGTGTTTTGACACAGTCCTTCCCTCTGATATTACATTCTCAAGGTTTGGTATCTTTAAAAGCATTAGAAAAACTTTCTCTCTCTCTCCTACTTGGACTTCGGCCTGATGCAAGGAGAGACACAACATTCCGGCTGAACTTCTCGTTACACTTGGGGCAATCTCTGGTTTGTGGCCGTTGGATGGCTGTTGCTAGCAGTGGATTGGAAGTGTTCGCCGCTAAACTATTGGATACAATGGCAACAGAGGCATTGTTTACCCCACATCACTCGTTCACATCACATCTATTGTGTTTATTGGTAATTGTTCATTAATGGATTAAGTGAAACATAATTGATTTGACTGTTGCTAAAGACCATTGTCACACATCTGTTTGTTATATATAATGCATGCTGCTAATTTGATGAAGTGCATCGCAAAACAGCTGAGGTAATGAACTCAACATTATCAAAGACTATCTCAAGAACTAATTTGAACTCTTTTATTTTTACTGATTCTTTCATGTAATTCGTGTTTATTCCAGAAGCTTGTAGCGTTTTCAAAGTTTATTGAACAACATGAAAAACCATGATGGGGATTATAAGGTTTAATAAAACACACATTGTTGTTTGAATTATAGTTGTCTGTTATTATTTATCCAGCAGTGGCAGGTTCTACAAGAGCTGGAACAACTTCCTTTGAGTTAACAACTTGAATAGAAAGAGACAATGTCCTTGCAGCATTAACTGAAGATGAAGACATCCTGGATTTTAACTAGTGGCCAAAAAAAGTCCAGCCACAAAGGCAAGCCTTTAATAACACCTATTATTTTAGCTTATTGGCATTTATAATAATTTAACTAAAGATTATTAGTTGATTTTACCCTTAATTTGAATGAAATTTATTAACTATAACTTAAAGTTCTAATTAAGAATTAGTCAATATTCCGCTGGTAAAATGTTCCGGGTCAACACCGAATGTAAATGTGAATTGTTCAGATCAGCTTTGACATATAGATAAAATTAATACCAAATCATGCTGCAGCTACCTCGTTCTACCTTATCTAGAGCAGATGAGGCAGGATGCTCCGAAAGTTTTTGATTTGACTTCTCCTGTTTCTTAAAGTTAATTTGTATCAGTTGGTATTTTTTTATATTGTGTATAGTTGTAAAAGGAATTTTTTTTATGGCCTTTTATTTAATGCACTGTTCAAACTGTTGAAGGCCTCATCATATTCTTCTGGGTATGAGAGTACAACAAACATCTACAGGGATTCTTACTATTCCTAATATAACCTTATTGGTAATTTAAATACATATTGATCTCTTTGACCAGGTTGCCCACAAATTCATCTTATTTACATTAATCCGGGAAGGGTTAGAAGGCCCTTTGCCAACTTATAGAAGACCATTACTCTGGAGATTGAAAGATTATTCACAAATGGAGAATCTACCTGAACAACTAACACGTTTCAATATTCCCAGGAGCTCATTAACAATCAAATTCACAGCAAGGTCAGAACATGCAAGCTTTAAAGAAACTGAAAATTTCTCCTCAGACTCTGGACCTCATTAGCATGTTAAAGCATTTGATGAAGCATTTGAAAAATGACTATATAAATAAAGATCATTTAGAAACGTTGCCTAAAAAAAAGAATATTCAGTATGTGACTTAGGTTTCCCATATTGACCAAACCTAAAAACTTACAGATGTATAGAAACCAAGTTAGGATACAACTTATCGAGGTAGTCTAAAGCTTATTAACCGTGTTGATTGACAGGTAACCATTTTCATAAAATCTGGAGTTTTATCTAAAATACAGCGAAAAAAAATATTAAATTGATTCTGCATCCTTGTCATGTAAAACAATCCTGCATACTCATGATAATTTCTTTATAAACTATTCGAGTCTGGTCCTACAGAAGGATGAAAAGAAAGCGCCCTCTTCTGGATGACACCCACACTACAACAGTAAAACAAGCGGATTTTCTACAGCAGCAGCCATTCAAAACGGCCCTTCCCAGTCAAACGGCAGCCAAATGGCAGCCCACAGCATAATCCTCTCCAACTTCCAGCCACTGGAGTGATGCCCTCCCTCTCCTGGGCGTGCATATTCTTTTACTCCATCCTTTAAATATATTACTCAATGAATGCGGTTTTCAGTTTTCCAAACAAAGCCTTTCTAATCAGCTTCTCTTTAGATCCTAATGACAGAAAGAATATTTTAGTACAAATATTGATATTTAAAAAAAATTGTAGGGGACCAGCCAAGGGCCCTTAAAGGATAGCTACTACTGTAAGTTAATAAGATGAAACAAATATAAATCCAACTAGAAAAGCAAAGAGCACACAGCTCCACCAAGCAGCAAATTTAGCCCCATACTGTGACTGACATGTTCTGGATCATTACCCAAATTTTAATGAAAGGTTCCTTGGCGTGAGGTGCACCTCTGGCATAAATTTCCTTGAAATACTTTTATGAGCTCATAAGTAAGGCACAGCATGTGTCTGCAGCCTCTGGTGTTTGCTCTGCTCTCACATGGCTCCCCTTTCTTGTGTTTTTTGCCTCCAGTCTAATACCTCAAACCTCTTAAGTCCAATGCTGGATCTGTCTGCCAGCTTGTTCTGCCAAATAATAAGAATAGAATCTTTTGAAATATTACTGTAATCGGATTATAATCTGGATTATCACCAAATGTATTGCTCCTTGAAATGAGGCACACCTCCGGTGAAAAAAATCATTAAAATCTGTTCATAAATTGTGAAGAAATACTGCTAGGAAACCAACACACATGATCAAAAACATAATATCCTTGATGACGATAATAACAAGTCATTATTTTGCATTTAACCTTACGTCAGTTAGCTGTTTACACATCATCTGAACAACCTTAATATGCTACATCAATGATGCAAAAGAAATGGTGAATTGTGGTTTTTAGTTTTCCAAGCAAAGCCTTTTTAATCAGGCTTCCTCTTTTTTACTTAATGTGAATAAAGGCAGAAGCTGGTGAGATCAGATACATTTATTATCACTTCCAAATATATAAACCCAAGATTGAAGAAGGGTTTCATTTCTTCTTTCACCATAGTCATGGAGACAGGTATTTATTTTTCCCTTCACAAGCCTAAAACTTTCAAAAAAATCAAGAGGAACATATATTTAGAGAGCTATATGTTTTAAAAGGGGGATTTCATGACTCTAAACAAAGCCGTTAATCCTCCATCACTATGCCTCTGACTCAGTCTCCTTGTCATGCAGGAAA